AAAACATTTACTAGAACTAGCTCTGTTCTCTGGAATTACTATACATTTTTATTTTTCTAATTTCATTTGCTTAGCTGTTTTATTCTTATTGTTGCTTTCCTCCCAAAAATTACAGCCTTGCTGCTTTACTAAAATATTAAAGCAACTCTAAACAACTTCTACTTTTGAATTATTTTACATCAAAAGATTTCTGAAAAGATACATTTTTCAATAAAGTTTCAGCTCCTGGACTTGTTATAATTCATATATGAGCAAAAGAAAAGTCCAAATTTATGCTTCATAAATCTCTCCTATACTTCTTCCTCAGAACTTGCTAATGTTATGTTTCTATTCAAGCATTCCAGTTTATATATAGGATTTTCATGTAACAGGACTGGGATAAATGGCATGTGTTACAACCCCAAGACTGTATAACCTGTAAGTAATTCATAGGCAGCCGTCTCTTCAGTTTACTAAAAAAAAGATACTAAATCAGTCTCTGGCCATGCTCTTCTATGAGTTTTTGAAATGTAACAAACACAAAGAAAGAGGTCCAGACATTCTGGTTTTCACATGGAAATCCTCTTGGAGTGACCCACCTGAGCACAGCACATCATGAGCCTTTAGAGCTTCAGTGCAAGCATCAATGCTGGCACTGCCTTGGAGGGTCTGAACTCCAATGCTACTGCACACCTCTCTTGAGCCCTCAGTTCTCCTGAAACCTCATCACCGGCTCAGCTCCCTTCACCAAGGTCCTGCTTCTCTCCACCTTCCCCCATTCTCCTTTCTCTCCACCTGCACCTTACTCCCATCTCATCCCACTCCTCCACGGTGCTCATGTTCTAAGCAGGTCCCACCACGCCACCAGTGATGCCTGATGTAAACCAGGCACAGCCACACACCACTCTTTTGTATTCACTGTTTTGAGTTTTTTCACATTCTGCATAGTCCTGTGCCCACCTCAGTCAGGTCACGAGCTCCTTGGGCTGAAAGCAGTATTGGTACGGGGCCCAGCACAACAGCCCTCACTCGCAGCCATGTGCGCAATACAGGTGAATCACTCTCTCCTTAAAACACTTCAAAAAATCGAGCAGTCCAACAGAAGGGAAAAAAAAAGACAAAGAGAAGGGAGAGCAGAGGCAGGAGATAAAGGAAATAGAATACACAGGATGGTTTTTACTGGAAGCAGCATTCCAAGGTGATACATCCTCTCCTTTCCCTGATGTCCTTCCTTGACATGGCCACGCTAGAAGCATCATTCCTCTCCTTAATTCCTATATAACAGTCCTTCTCTTTTCTTCTATTTTCTTTGTTTTCCCCTCCTATATAAATTTTAACATTTACTTCCAGCCCAGACTGACACTTACATGCAAGAAGAAGTACCAGCTGTATGGCACTTGCTCACGGGCTGGGCTATCTCAGGTCTGTGCTTTTACTCCATGCTTGCCAAGAACCAAGAGGTATTTAAATTCTTTTCACTTCTTTTCCTTATCTTTCCACCTGCCAACAGCAGTCACAGTCTCAAAAATTATTCTTCCTTCTTCTTTTCAGGACTGACATATAGCCTAATGTAACAAACCCAAGCACCTTCACTGCTAAAACCATCATGGCAATGAAGGGGCTCATGCCTTAAAAATACTAACCACAAAATTTCTTTCATATATCTAAAACTACATTTTAGGTGAGAAAATGAAAGATTATAAAAACAGTGTTTTCCTTTCACTTTTACAACACATATATAATCCCTCACTACTCTCTAAGTCATATCTCTGGGGCTCTTTTCAGGGAAAAATGAAAATCATTAAAAAGACCCAGACAAAAATCTCAGTTTGGGGAAGACGTGAGCAACAATCTACAGATGGTTCACACAACTTTGGACGTAACTCAGTGAACATTCAGGTACAGTTTTGGAAGTGGCTTGAATGATAAATAAAAATGAAGAATCATCTGGGGCAGGAATACCTCAAAAATATCCGAAGTCTCAAGAAAGCAGAAGCGCTCTGCGTGTGATCTCTGCATGACAGGTATCACACAGTACACTATGTGTAACTCTACAAAACTCATTTTTACCCTCCCACCAACCAGATGAAGCACACTCTGTAGTCAGCCCAGCAGCTGATAAACTGGGTTTGCAACTCTACACCCCGGTGTAGAGTTTCTACATGCCTGAGAAATCATGATGTTACTCAACAAAGGAAAGAGGGGCAAATTCCTGTTAAAAGGAGCGCCTGCCCTGGAGCCTCTCAAGCCCAATTCTTGCTCTTCTCCCAGTGAGCCCTGTCAGTAATCCCTGCTCCTGCCACCCTCAGCCCTAAGTGACCACAGAGGTGCCCCGCCAGCTTCCCTGCTGCATGGCCCCGTGTGTCAACAGCGCTCCTCAGATTATTAAGAACTAAATGCACAAAGAAATACTTTCAGCTGAGTCAAGGCCACAGCATTCTATACTTGGCAATCCCAAGGCCCTTTTCTGACACAGGATAACATAGTAATGCATGAAAGGGGGAAACAGAGAGTAAAGATAGGAAAGTTAGAAAAAAAAAAAAACAACAGATATTGTATAATCTTCTGAGTAGCACAAGATTTTCCTGATTACAGCCCAAGTAAAAATAATGCTGTAGAAATAATTTCAGGAGCAGGAACTGAGAGCCCTGCTTGTCAGGCCTATCCATGGGGCTGGAGCTCTATTCTTTATAGAAAATCTTCACCTGGAAGAGTAACTAAAAAAAGCTGCAGCAAAGGATAGCAAACTACAGCAGTTCTAGGACAAAACGTGCTTTAAGACCATACCAGAACACCTCATTTTTGCAGGCATATACATGAGGGCAGAATCTGGCCTATATTCTATACACCTTAAGTTATTGTTCATAGGGGAGGGAGAAAAAATCATCTTGAGTTACAGCAGAATCTGCAAAAGAATAAAATTAATCTTACAGCTTGCTGGACAGAAGGACTCCAGTTCCTTGGAGCACAATACTAGGGCAGTGCTAATAAATCTCCATACCAAAAAGATAAAATTGGGAAACTTTAGTCCTGAACATTTGCCTATGAAAATTCCTTTTATACATAACAAAACAAATAAGCAAAAAAACCTTAAACTTTCTTTCAAATTAAAAAAACCTATAATTTGTTAAAAAATGTTCCCTTCATTAAGACAGTGATTTGAGTTAAACAACCTCTAGTAATAGGCAGCATTTCTCTTGCACTGAAACATTTCTCATTAGCCAATTAAATACTTGATTAGCTCTTCAGCTGTGATGTTAGCAAATATAAATTGCAGCAGCCACCCTCCCAGCCCATTACTGCAAATATATCCCTTTTCCAAAATGTGCCTTTATTCAGACTCATCAGTTTGCTGCTTCTTTACAGTTAAAGCAAACAAGGATCAGTTTGATACCCAAAGAAGTGAGTTTCCAGTTGCTGGCATCAGTTAAGCCAGTAACTTTAATTCCTATGAGAGCAAAGTGCTGTGTGACTAACTCTCCCCTTTCAGTCCTGCAGCAAGGGCTCAAAGCCTGAGCTGAGGCAAGAAGCAAAACAGGCAAAGACATGAGAAGACTCCTCTTGTTAGAAATAAAATATGGAGAACATATAAGAGGAGTTGTCTATTTGAACATCATGCAAAGAGGTGTTGCAGTATTTTCAGCCCATGTCCAGAGAGATGGTTTTCCATCCCAGCAGTTCTGATTGCAGCGCTGTACATTTCACTGGTGCAACATGGCAGCCCCATTTAACTCTAGACAAAGCTGCAGTTTTACCACCACACCTTGTGTCAGCTGAGCCAAAGTATCTCAGGTGGCAGCTGATGGACTTGCACACAAAGTAGGCATGTACCCAAAAAGAAATGTAAGAGTTCAAGAATCCAACAGCATATAGGAAAGCCAAATTCTGAGTCTTTTAAACTTGCAAGTAATCATACCGCAAATATTTAAGAATCTGTAGGAATCTAGCTTGCCACTAGACTTTCTGGAGAGGTTTTTTTATGAAAAGGTGAAAAAACAAAAACAAAAATTGGTGTTCTTGGATTAATTTGAATATATTCACCATTGCTTCAAAAAATTATGAAAAGCGTGTAACAATTCACAATTCTGGTAAATGTCTCTTTGTTGCTGTGGGGTCTGAAGCCAGGAGAAAAGGCAACATTATATAATATCCTGAAAGAGCAAGGTAATTGAATAAACCCACTCTCTTCTTCCACAATACTGCAGATTACTTCATCCACGACGGTCTTGAAAATGAGTTTAACTCTATAGATAACTATGTTCTTCACAACAAAAGGAATGAAAATGAGAGGAAAACTGGTTTTGTTCACCAAACAGAAAACAAACAAAAACCAGCAGAAGGGCTAGTAAGGAAAGAATGGTTAATCTCACATTTCTAAAAGGGTATTATAAACAAAGCATGGTGAACAACAAAAATAAAGGATTTAAAAAAAAAAGATACGAAAGTGCTTAATGGTGTTCTTTTAAATATTTACTTTGCAGCTATTTGGAGAATAATTTGTTCCATTTAGTAGCATTGGGCTCAAAGGACCGCTTTAATCCAGAGAGATTAATTATAGCCTTTGGAGTTATAAACACAATTTGGGAAGTGAAGCGGAGAAGAGGAGAGAGACTCCTCTCACGCTGGCGTTTTAACAAGTTTATGTGCTTTGGGGCTACGCTACGCAGGCTACACCTGTACACTGCAGGCAGAACAGGACACCCATGAATTGTGGAAAAGCAGCCCCCAGGACATCCAGGGGGCTATCCTGAATATCCTACAGTGTTGCTGTAGGCAACTAAAATACGTCTCAGGTGCCCTTCATCAAAATACAAGCTCACCAGCACATTACAAAAACATCATCTCGCTTTTATTACCTGCACCAGAAAGGAGCTGCCGCACTGAGACATGCAGCGGACACAGGGCCTCTAAGACCTCTCACATGCTTTCACCTATTTCTCCCTGCGGTCATGGCTGTGTCCGAGACCAGGAGACACAGGGACCCACAACAATTACTGGGGCAAAGCTGGGAGCGATCTTACCTAGCAAGGGATTGGCTGCTCCCTCCTCCGAGCTCTCCTCAGCGCCCTCCTCTCCCAAGCCAGAGGTGGCCGAGTCCTCTGGGGCGGATGCAGAGCCGGGGGTGCTGGGCCCGCTGACGGAGCCCGAGTCCCCTTCCTCGCTGCTGGAGCCGTAGCGGTCGGGCTGGGCGGCCGTCCCGCCCTCGCTGCAGCTCCTGCGCTCCTTGCGGTGCACCCGCGAGTGCAGCACCATTTGGTGGTAGGTGCGGAAGATCTTCCCGCACTCGAAGCACTCCGTGGACTTGTTCTGGGCGCCCCGGCGGCTCTGCCGCGAGGCAGGGCGATAGTCCAGATCCCCGGGGGCAGGCGGGCAGCTCTCCCCCACTGGGACACTGCCGGCTTTCTCCAGGCGCCCACCGGTGCAGCTCTTCTTCTTGGGGTTGCTGGGCGAGTCCTGGTCTCGCTTGCGCTTCTCCTGGTTGACAAGGATATACTCCCTCTTATCCTTGTCATAAGTCACGTCTGCATCTGCCAGGGCCTCATCCCATCCCACATACTTCACATACTCTGAGGGCTCTACTACTTTTCCTTTGGTGGCCAGCTGCCAAGCTTGGTAGCTACTGACCGGATCCAGCTCAGCTACTCTTTTCCCAGGCTGTCCTCTCGTAACTCTATCCAGCCCTACAGATGGCCGTAGGTTGAGACACTGCAAGAAAAACTGCTTGGTTACTGAGGAGCTCAGGCTCCCATCAGTCAAGCCCTTGGCTTTTTCCCCGGTGCTGCCCGGCTGCACACGGTAGTGAACAGCATTATGCACTTTCAGGCTTTCCATATTTGTAAACAGATTTCCACACTTGGTGCAAACTTCATACAGAGACAGGCCGGTCACAATTGTCTCCTCTTGTACCACATCATTGATAGTGGCAATCAGCTCCAAATCATTTTTTGGTTTGTTTTTGCTCCCAGACCTGGGACCATGCGACTTCATGTGGTTTTTGAGAAACCAGGGCTCCTTGAATCTCCTGCCACAAATATGGCACCCATGATCAAATGACCCCCTATGCTTTTTCATGTGAGCTTTCAGGAACCAGGTTTGACTAAAGGTCTGACCACAGACTTCGCACGGGAACTCGCCCACATTCAGCTCGCTCTTGCAGTTCTCGGTGTAGGTCTCCCCATTGGGGACCTGAGCTGTAATATGGTCCTTTTCTATGTGGTTTAACAGCGTCTCCTCCCTCAGGGTCATGTAGCTGCACAACCTGCACTTGAACGGTTTATGGACCTGGTGCAGGTGCTGCTCCAGGTCCTTCTTCCTTTCGAATTTGTTTTTGCAGAAGGTGCACTGGTAAGAGGTCAGCTTGTCATCATCCTCAGCTGGTGCCATCTCTGTGACCTCCTTCTTGCTGCTTCTCAACAAGATCTTGCTGCTATCGACCTGAGCGGTACCGTTCAAGATCTTGTTGCAGGCAGATGTACTTTTAGTGGGGCTGGTGCACCCGCCAAGGCCCTCAGAAACACCCATCTCCCCCAGCTGTGCCTCTCCCATCTCTGCCTCGTGCCCCTGACTTAAAGTGCCTGTCCTGTGACTGCGGATGTGAATCTTCAGATTGCCCTTTTGGGAAGCTCTGTGATCACAGTAAGGGCATTTGTAGGGCTTCTCACCTGTGTGCTTCCTCATGTGCTGCGACAGGGAGCTCTGAAAAGGGAAACTTTTACCGCAGATGCAGCAGCTGTGGCACATGGTCTTGTCAGCATCCACGTCGTTCTTGCTTAGCTTGCCAGGGCTGGAGGATCTCCGTAACTCCATTTCTGCCTCTCTGCCACGATCCATCTGTATCACTGCAGCAGGGGGGAAGCGGGGCAGGAGGACAAAAGCATGTCCGGCAGCAGAGCAGGGCTGGACCGCGTTCTCAATCATACGGTTCTGCAGAGAGGGGTTCTATTGCTTCATCCTCGGGGTAACGCTTCCTTCAGCCACTCCACAGAATCCACAGCACCAATTTATTTCTGTGTGCTTTGTAAGCACAAGGCATAGATCACCTGAAACAAGAACAAAATCACACAAATGTACAGATTCTTAAATATATTCAAACCTGTTCATGTTTTGAATTCAACGGCTTCCACCACTCACTCGGCACTCAGAAGCGCACCATATGACAATCTATTGCACCAAAAGGCACTAGTTTCTCTTTTTGCTGATACTCTAGACTTCAATGACAAGCATAATTACTAAATAAGTAAAATCCATAAAAGAGCAAATACTCATTTCCATACACTGACATCAGTGTCTTGAACGAAGTGCAAACTTTAAAAATATTTTTTGTTTTAAAACCAGGCAGAAGTGGCTAAAAATACACCTTAAATGAGGAAAACATTTCTTGTGGGGGTTATTACACTTTAAATCTGTGGCTTTACCATCGTGTGTAATTTCATGTAAAATACTTACTTGCCAAAGATAAAAGGCTTTCCTAGTGACTTTAGTAAGTATCATATTCCTGCTGGCAACTGCATTACTTTGTGTCTCAGACAGCTCGGCTGTGCTTGAAGTGGCAGGCACAGAAAGGCGCAAAGGCTGAGGACGCTCAGTACTTTGATTACAGAGCAAACAAGAAAGCAGAGCCTGATAAAGCACTCATGAAAACTAAAAGTTATTTCCTGCCGGACAGTGAACTAAAAAGACCCTCCAAGTATAAATTTCAGTCTCAAACTAACAAAGCAAAGTGATAATGTAGCTATCAAATTACCTCAAATGTGAGTGATTTATGTCAACATGACACACAGGAAATGACACCACCACCCACCTCAATGAAACAGAATTTTAACTATAAACAAACAAACAAAACAAGAAAAAACACTGATTAACAGAGCAGATTAATAAAAGTTTAAATATTTTTGTATCTCTCCATGAATAAATGCAAGGGTCAGTATCTTAGTGCAAGATGAAACACACCAGCACCTTGTATACAGCAAAAAACAATGATCAAAATCCACATAGGCTCTTTCTTTTCCAATTACTACACTGTAAAACAAAATCTTCCCCCTCTCCTGCCCTCATTAAGGACTACAAACACCACATGACTAAGATCAAAGAACACAGCATTCTCTAATGAAGAGAACTGATCTATTGCCACATTAAGAAAACATCAGCTTCTTAAAATGTAGCTAAAAATATGCAGAGCCCTAATGAGACCATATATTCCCACATCCTTCACTTGACATCTATGACTCAACAAAGAGCTACAGATCTACAGCTGCAAATTTTAAGATTTCTCACTGCATTCACCTCTGAGTCTCTCCAATACGTAAATAAGCAGTCTAACCACACCACCAGCAGGAGCTAAACAAAAAGCAAGACTGTCGCAATGCTCATCTCAGTTACGGGCTACAGAAGAATTTATCACATTTAATTTGATCTAGCCCTCTTATTTACTACAAGACACTCATTTCTGGGCTGGATTTTCTGCATATCTAGTATCCATTTAGCATGTTAGGGAGTTCTCAAACAGCATCAAACCCAAACTACCTTTTCCTCAGAGAGCTGGCAATAACATTTAAGGGATGAGTTACAAAAGCAATTTCATTTCTTGAATGAAGCATTTTTTCATTATTAAAAAAAACCAGGTATCTCAAATTCAGCAGTCGTCCATATGAGCAGGAAGTTTACAAACTACAGAATCTAAACTAATCTTTGAAAGTAGTCATTTAAAATCAAACAGAGACAGCCTCAGAAGAAACTTCCTGGGTGAATAAAGGATGTCAGCCACTGAAATTGTGGCTGCACCAGAAGGAACAAACACACCACACAGAAAATACAAGTTTATATTGCCCATTAGTGGAAGACACAACTTCCAGTAACATCTTATTTATCTGACCCACAACCTAAAACTGCCAAGTGACAACCTATATTGTCTTATAACCAAAGATTTAACCTAAAAGTCATTAAAACATAAAAAGAAACACCAGGTTTAAGTATACTATGCTAAATGCAAGTAAACAGCTTCTTCTGAAATGTTCCACACCATTTCAGAAAAAAAAAATAAAGCTTTGGGAACATATTTTCTCCATGTATTTTATACATTGTTTTCTACATTATTAATTTTCTACAGCTTACACCAGTGAGGACATTGCTTCTATTGGCAGGCTCATTTTTAGACTAACAACTTTTTTTTTTTTTATTTTAAAATGTAGGGCCCATTTTAACTCAACTTTCTGCAGTGTTTCCTGTCTGAAAGTTCAAAAGAGCTTTAAGAGCCAAGCTTAGACAAGAATGCTGTACACAGCAGTCCAAGCACATGTAGATCCAAAGCTTCAGAGTCCCTTTGTTTACTTGGCCACAGATTCCCTGGGCTTAGTCTTGACATATTTCACTTTAATTATTTATAGCATTTTCATTAATGAAACTTAGTTATGAAAATGAGGCTATGAAGAAAGCATTACTTACAAGAAGGGTATTAGCCACTCACAGGAGATCCCCCTAAGTCCTGTATTAAATTAGGCCTGAGGGAGAAAAATGTCAGACTTAAAAACTACTGAATAATTTTATTAGTCTAAAATACTTAATGGAAGTGTTACTGTCTTCACAAAAATATTCTGAGAATTTTTTTCATCTTTATTAGTTAATCTTGTCCAATGCACTGCAATCTGTGACTTCGAAGTTGAAATAAAGTATCCCTAGACTTGAATTATTCCAATTCATGTACATGTAAGACTCACAACATTTCAAGTCTGATATTCCACAGACAAAATTCTAGGGGAATGAAGGGTGTTCACCCAATCTGAGCTTGCTTTACACAGCACATGGAGGTCAGTCTTGGGTTTTGGTAAAATATATAAACAACTCACTTCTCCCTCTTCATATAATTTGAGTGGCTACTTAGAAGTAATTCTTCCAGAGGGGTCTCTCTGCAGAACAGCAAAGCTGGTTCATTGGAAAGCGGTAAATAGAACTACAACTTTGAAAAAAAGCTTCAATTTAGACGACTGAACATACAAAATAAGGGAAAGATCATCTGTAAAAAATTCCAACAATAGAAAGTAACATTCTGTCTTAATAATTTTTACTTTAAAGATTAAAGTAAAATATTTTACTTTAAACAATTAAGATGGCACAATGGATAGAAGACAACTGGTAAATCAAACAACACCAGTTACTCTTTCATGAGAAGTAAAATTTTGCCATCGTTATCTTTGCTTCTTTCAGCTGATGTGATGCTAAAAAAGGTTGTATTTTGAAATAATTCCAAATTTTAAAGCGCTCTGAAATAATTCTCTATCAGCACACATGGAATGCAGCCACCTCCAGCTACCCTCAGGTTACTGAAAGTGTTTCAGGTGATGAGCAGCAGCCCTCCGCTGCTTTGGTCCAAGCTCACCCTGCAGTTCCACAGCACTGGCTCACCACACAGAATCCACAGCACAGTCACACCCAGCCTGCAGATTCCTCCCAGACTGTCACAGCACAGAAACCCCCACCAGCAGAGACAGCCATAAGAAACACAAGTGAATGTAAACCATAAATTAATACACAGTCTTTAAAAATATTTTGTGGCACTGCAGTCTACACCAAATGCCATCCAGCTACTTGGGGGAGCTGTGATACTCTAAGGGACAGAGGAATTAGATTCAGTTTATTTTGTTGAACTAGGAAACAGCAGCTCAGTTCATGTAAGAAGGAGCTAGCCAGTATCCATGAGGCATTTTCAGCCCCTTTAAATACACTTATCATCACTGTTTACACACAAGTTTGGTATATAAAGCAAGATGGAAAAGAAAAATCAACAAAGACTGAAAACTATGAGGGGTGGTGTGCTGAGAAATAAATGTCTTTGCACAGCCAAATATTTTAGTTATAAGGTTTCTTCTTGCACCATTGCCTCACCAGATTCTTTGCCTTGACACACATGGGAACAAATAAAAACAAACTTTGTCATATTCCCCTGGTGCCCCCGAAGGGAAAACAAGCTTTCCCACACATTTAAAGCAAGTACTTGTCAGAATCTACTCTATTTCAAACATTTAGGCATCAAAACCCCTTTGGTTTTTAAAACTAACTTGGACAGAGTTGTTTCCTCTCAGAGAAAGCACATTTGACCAAAGTGACTTGCTCTCAGCACAGAGCCCCAGCATCTTTTCCACCACCATCCATGGCTTTCCCAGTGAAGCTGTGGTGGCCTGTCCCTGCTGGCAGCTCAGCAGGCACCCTGGTGCACGGCTGCATCACCCTCACAACTTCTGCAAGGCCCTCATTCAGCCTAGCAATGAGCAGAAATACAGGTAAAGAGCACTTTGTACAACACAGGAACACTCTGAAATACATATTACTCTTTTCTTCATCCCACCTCCATACTCTGGAAGAGGATCAGGTATTGAGGACAGCCCACAGGACCTCAAAGGAAAGACACAGCCTCCTAAGGACCTTTTGTGCCTCTTGGAAAACAATTAATAAAAAGAGAAATCGAAAATAAACAACACAGGAAAACTGGGGGGGGGAAATAAATTAAAACAAAAAGAATTCAAAAGATACTACACCAGAAAAGTAATTACAAATTCATTTCTTACATACAAATATGCTGTGCAGTGCAGACAGAGAAAAACATGGAAAATTATTCCTGTTCCAACACAGAACAAGCAAAGTATGTATTTCTTTTAAATTTCTCCTCAATTAAATATGATTTTTAAAATCATATTGCATGATATGTAGTGGTAAGAAGGCAAAACTCTTCAGTAAATAATAAAGAAGAAAATACAATTTGGGAAGCCACACAGACCTACTGAAATAGCAGAGTGTATCTTTTAAAACAAACTGCTTTCAGTCTGGGTGTATTTCAAGTCCCATCTGAGAGATAAATGCACCAGAGAAATAATCGCTCTTCTAATCTCCAAGAGGTTTGAACATACACTGCAATCACACCACCATGT